ATATATAAATGATTTTAGTATGAATATTTAATAAACTTAGTCAGCTATGATTATAAGCATTCAGCTAACTGATTGGAGAATAGGATAAGTCATATTAAGAAACCGCTTAGCCCAGTGTTTCCCAACGTGGTGCCTACGCCCCACTGGGGGGCAATTTGATTGTTAAGGGGGGCAATTCGAAAATGGACTCGACACGAGTTTAACCCCATTGCTCCAGGCCATTTAAATGCAATGCTAGATTTCGATGACAAAATTGAAAGAAAAAAGAAAATTCTTAAATAATTGCAGCCAATAAATATTATAAATTCGTTTGACGAGATCAAAATATCAACTGGGTTTTTAGCGTTGTCAAGTTAACCTCCCTGCGGCAAACGGCAGGCTCCGCGTGGACCCCCGGACGCTTTAAAATCTCGCTAAACAATGTAGTTGTTCGCATCTGAAGAATAGACGAAATAAGTGAAGATATTGAAAAACAACTTGTTGAAAAGCTAAAAACAACTTGTTGAAAAGCTGAAAACAAGAAAATTCTTAGTGCAAATGGATTAACTAACTTTGATAGACAGTGTGGCAGTATTGATAACTTACGTAAGATATACTGATGAAGGGCATTTTGCTGAAGAAAAGTTGCTCTGTAAAAGATTAGAAAGCACCACTACCTTCAAAGATATATATAATAAGCTGAAAAACTACTTAGATGTCAATAATATACCAATAAAAAATATAACATCTTGTGCTGCAGATGGTGCTCTTAATATGATGGGCAAGAAAAATGGTTGCTTAAAAATTGATGAAAGATGAGAATCCAGAAATGATTCTTGTGCATTGTGTTATCCAGTACCGCCTTTACGCATGGGCACACCCGGGCAGTGCCTGAGGGCCCCTAAGCACTAAGGGGGCCCTTTAGTATCAAAAAGAACTCGCAGAAATGCATGATGAATCATTTAAAACTTTAATATAAAAGTGATGGCATGGCTTTGCGTGGAGACAGGAATCAAATACCCAAATTCAACCAAATGTGCAAGAAAACTACTGTTACCGCTTCCATCTTCATATTTAGCTGAATGTGGATTTAGTGCTGTAAATGATTTACTAGTAAAAAAAAAAGAAATCGTCGGGATATAACACAACAGGGAAACTTGAGACCGAAGCTAACCAAATTGGAACCTAACATAAAATCTGCATCAAGAGCAAGGATCTCACTAAATTAAAATATTAAATTATAGAAAATTTTTTATTAAAATTATTTTGCATTTGAATTTTAGTTTTTCATTATATGTTTTGAAAATTTACTTACTGTGAGTGATTTCTTCCTAAAACCTATCCTTTAAGTTTCTTAAGTGAACAATTCAATTTTTTAATATTGAAAATTATGTATATGTTACATGAGGGGGCATAAGAATTTTAGAAAGGTTTAGGTGGGGCATGGCACAAAAAAGGTTGGGAAACACTGGCTTAGCCTAAATACCATTGTAAATGACTTCAGCTTATTAATAAATTAAACAATTAGATGCGATTTATGCCACATACAAAGAAATATTTTTCACGCTTTTCTGTTTAAAAAAATTGTATGACTGCGTCTACCAGAATTCATTTATTTAATTTTATCTGTATACTTGTATCGTTTCCTGTATTAAAGTTTAATTGCGGTCTGCAATATATGGACTTTTTCACAACTTAAAAACAAGGTTGTTATGATAGAATACTTTATTTTACAAAGTGTATGCGAAAATGTCGGTAGGTTGCATCATTAAATAAATTAAACAAAATGCATTTCTTCCCTAACATTAATTAGTAATATTGTATTTTTGGCATCAGCGATGAAACTGCAAAAATAAGCTTGCGTAAGGCTCTTTTGGGATAGATTGAAATACTCAGGCCTCGTCGTCAACGAGTGCAGTTCAAAATTGAAACAATTCTTGCACCTGCACGAATCTTAGTGAAAGATTTGTCACTTGTAATTATCAATTCCTCCTATATTCATCGAGGATCTTACATCGGTTGCATTTTCATCAGTTTGACATCGTTGGCCAAATATTTTGAACATCATACCGAAATATGATAGTGCATCATAATTGGATTCTTTCTCTCCCGAAAAATTTTAAACCTGTCCTGTACACCCATACCAATTTCTTAGGCCATTTATCCAAACCAATTTGAAATTTCATTAGGACTTGAACAAACGTCATTTAACAATCCGAGGCTAGTTCTCTAATTTACATACATTTTTTGTAGTATTAATTCTGTGCCGTTTCTTCATAAGTTTCTCCCGGCAACACCTTAACTCACTCTGTCTTTAAAGCCTATCCATTTACCAAATAATTTAGGTGCACCTAATCAAACTAAATTTTAATTTCTTTGCTTTTAGATTTTTGTATGAGCTTTCTCTCATTTTAATTTCTTAGCTTTTAGATTTTTGTATGAGCTTTCTCTCATTTTAATTTCTTAGGTTTTAGATTTTTGTATGAGCTTACTCTCATTTAAATTTATTTGCTTTTAGATTTTTGTACGAGCTTACTCTAATTTAAATTTATTTGCTTTTTAATTTTTATGTGAGCTTTCTCTCATTTTAATTTCTTTGCTTTTAGATTTTTGTATGAGCTTTCTCTCATTCTAATTTCTTTGCTTTTAGATTTTTGTACGAGCTTTCTCTCATTCCTGAATACGCCATACGAATCGAATGTATGGTTTTTCATGCCTCATTCTCCGAAAACCTTGGTCACATTGAAAGCAAACTGCTCAATCTGACTACCACCTGCAAAGTAAGTAAAAATGATTTTACCTCCCTCACATTAATTATTTCTATACCATTCATTAAATACATGCTGCATTGATTATATCCAAATTGTATATATCACATTAATAAATTTACGCTAGCAGTTGTGTACAATCGGAAACTAACTTTTGATTCCTAATCCTCCTGATTCAGAGTGCACACTAACAATCAATAAATTTATCATATGATCAATAAATTTAATAAAATAGTTTGACATAGTTTCCCGTTTTTGTTGGTGCATTTTTATTGGCAGTAAAATTACATGGTAGGATCCAGTTTTCCTTTTTTGACTTTTTTTTCTGGTTGTTATCAGTTTAAAAGTCCTTAAAAGGAATTGTTTTCCTGTGAAATATTCTTTCTCTAATTTAAAGGCATTTATTTGCAATATTTATTTATTTTTTCTTCTATTCTGCTATTGATTTAAGACTTGAAATTAAGAATTTTGAAGCTAACAAAAGTTGTTCCTTTATTAAAACGGAATTCTATGGTATTACCTTATTACACTACAACTTATTTAAATCGGTGTTTAATCTTTCTTATGTTCATTAATAGATCTTAATAAGCATAGTTAGCACAGTTTTTGTCAGTACACAGACAAGCGAAAGATTTCAACTTTCTTAGAGCAAAACTGTTTTACACCAACACTGTAAAAAAATCTGAATAAAATTATGGGGAAAAGTGCTGGCACACTATGTGCCGGTTCCTTTCGCAGTGAAATTTTAAGAGGAAAAAAAACTGACGTAACGTAATTTTTATATGAAGTAATATTTACTGTAAAATCACTGAATCAGTGTAATTAAATAAATTTTTACTGAGAAAAACTGCAGCATAAAATTTTCCGGTAAAAATGAAGTTTATGGTGAAATGTGTTTTACGGATACTGCACTCAGGGTGCCCATACTTTTTACAGTAATTTTATCAGTAATTTCTTATAGTAAAAAGACAACAATTACTGCGAAACAATGTCGAAGCGAATTGGGGTTTGTAAGCGGCAGCGAACAGGGAGCCTAGCTCCCTAGTTCTTTATATAAGTTATAAAATGTATTAATTTCATAACTAAAACTTGTTAAGAGGGAAAATAAGTTTTGAAATTGACACATTTTAAAATAGGTTGAAAAATAAAAAGAATTAATTAGAATATTTCTGAAATTAATACTGCTTTGAAAGGCTAATTCAAAAATTTGAAAATGTGAAAGAACTAAAAGTTAAAAAACTGCTTTACATTTATAATTATTTTATTAATGAAAGCTCAAATTTAATTTCATGAAACAACATCTTTCTTATCTTTCAGAGTTTAAGGGGTAAAAAAGTCCAAAACATCATCAGTATCATCCTTTCACTCGGCAATTATATGAATGGAGGTAAGTTATTTAAAAAAATTTACATTTCTTTAATCATTTATATGCATGAAATGTTAGAAAACATCATTAGACTAAGACTAAATATCACACGTCATTGATTTCGTTTTTTAATTTAAACTAAAATAACATCCAATGTTTGTTTAAACTCTGGTTTCAAAGGCAGTCTATTTTTTTTTCTTAAATCAGTTAATAGTTATTATTGTTCAACTTTGATAAGTATTCATTACTTAACATTGATAACAAGTTAACAAGAATGAATAATGTTTAACAACTAAACAAATCATTCATTTTCACTACACTCTCATTATGAAATTTAAGCTCAATTGGTTTAGATAGAACAATTCATGAAACATATCTCAATTTGTAAGGAATTGTATTTATGTAAATTAGGTGGAAAAAATATTGATTCTTATTGTTGAAAGGGTGCACGTTGTACTTACAAAAATGGCTCTGTGTTAGTTACATATTTCTAGCCATCTTCTGTTGTAGTTGAATATTGTAATGATGCCAATTGTCGCTTAATAAAAATAATATGATGGCAAATGTGCTGGAGAATTTTTTTAAATGACTCCAAACACCATTTACTCTTGAAAATTGGGATAAATTTTAAAAACACATGAAGGTTAAAAGAATCCTAGCTGATGAGTTCCAAAAGGAAATATCTAGTAGTAAAATCCGAATAGTTCAAGTTGAGTGGAATATTCTTATGAATATCAAAACGAAGTTAATTGTTGGTCAGCAATAATGACGAGCATCTCCTATTGTTAGAAAAAATTAAATTTCGCAATTATTTTCATGGTTGTGGTTAATTATATGATAGACCATATTATTGTTAGTGGTTTATGCGCATTTTTATTCTGTTTCAGGAAATGGAAGCAGAGGACAGGCTGACGGATTTAATATCGAAATACTTACAAAACTAAGGGATGTTAAAAGTAAAGTAAGTATTAAGTCCCATATTTGACTCCTATTGAATATTTTTAAATAAAAAAGGAGAACTTAATTTTCTTTTTTCTAGGATAATTCACTCACGCTTCTACATTACATCGTGAGAGTATATTTCGCTGTTTTTGAGAAGGTATGTGATATTCTTTCGTTTATTTAAATATTTTAAATTTTCTCCAGTCAAACTTTTTTTAAATGCATTAATAGTTTGTAATTGTCCTATTATGGGGGCTATTATTCTGTATTAGTCATTCAAAATATTCACCTTTAAAAGGTATAACTATGAATTCCACGAATCTGATGCGAATTTTATTCTTTTTATTTTATTTGTTTTCATTCATTTTTTAGCCTTGTATCTGCAATACCTTAAAAGTTTTTGCAATCTTCTTGAATACAAAACGCCAGTCAAACTTTTCTAAATGCATTAATAGTTTATAATTGTCCTATTATGGGGGCTATTATTCTGTATTAGTCATTCAAAATATTCACCTTTAAAAGGTATAACTATGAATTCCACGAATCTGATGCGAATTTTATTCCTTTTATTGTGTTTGTTTTCATTCATTTTTTAACTTTGCTTCTGCAATACCTTAAAAGTTTTTGCAATCTTCTCGAATACAGAACGCCGATCAGATTTGGTATAGTACAACGCGGCACGTTGCTGCAATACTATTATTATGATTATGCAAATGGTAATTTTTATCTTTGGTTTGTCATACATTAACTGAGTGATGCAGTACAGTGTTTGTACCGCAGTGGACTGATCGTTAAGACTCGGATCCCAGCAGATCACTAAAGTCAAGCATCGATGGTTGCGGTCAGTGTACGGGTGGGTGACCACTTGGATCAGTCTGCTTAAGGACCGAGGGTGTGCGGTATTGGTCCTCGTTAAACTGTTCTACCGTAAAGTGCTCGACTTCGCTTGCAGGTCGTTGCGCTACCGAAGCGGGGGTGCCATCCCTTCTGCAGAGGATCAAAATTGTGATGGCATGTCTTTGGATCATCCTCAGTGTTGTTTCCCAAACTGTAGCCAATAGCCCATTGCGCATCTCCAGTGCGACTTAAATGAACTACAACAGAAGTGGTACAGTGTTTAAGAATTACTGTTACTTACTACTGTCTGGCAAAAACGAGAACAGCTTTCAGTGTTATTGAAAGACTCGCTCATTTCGATTAAGATTTAGGGTAGTGGGTATTAACTAAAATTAATCCCCAATCTGAAACTGGTATTTAATTCAACACGACCGCTAAACTATTTATTTTCAATTGAAAGTAAATAGATCAGTTCAATAGCAGTGCAACAGAAAGTCTAGTTTCATGATAGCCAGGTTTCATGATAGGCTCATTTCATGATAGCCAGAAAGTAGAATTGGTTGGTGTCAAATGACTTAATTTTCCAATAGAACAGGTTTTTTTTTTTTCTATTGCAGGAAGTGGAAGAGGAAAATTGTCATCTGCCTATTCCTGAGCCATCAGACGTAGAAAAGGCTAGGGCAGTCAATTTTGATGATGTCAAAAAGGACTTAGACAAATTATACGTGCAAACATCAGGTGAAATTAAATATATATTAAAATTTTCCTTTTTTTAAAATAAATTGTAAAAAATGATTTGATTTCTATTATTTTAAATTTTTTGTATAATTTTTCATACATTTGATTTATTTATCTTTCTTTAAGGTTGCAAAAATAATGCTGTTGTTGATACACTTCTCTATAAAGAACTAAATAATTTCAAACCATTAAAAAATTGAATATTGTTTATCAAAATATTAAGGTTCTTAGATTTACACTCTAGAATACTGAAGAAAAATTCGCATGTTCTTGTAGGATTGTAAATTAAGTAAATGTATGCACTAATTTCTTCATTTTTTGAAAAAGTCTATTATTACTAGACACTGTAACATTTTACTTTTGTTTCTTCTCATTCACTTCTGGAAAGCTTTGAAAATAGGCTCCTGTTTTGGAAACGCTTGAAACATGTTAACTGTTATTTATTTTTTATGTATTTTTTGAAGCGAATACAGTAATATTTATTTTTATTTAGCGTGTGATCGCAAAGTTACACAAATATTGAAGTCTTCAGATAATGATCACCATCAACCTCTGAAAGATATTATGAAGACGTTCTTAGATAAAGGTAAAAAAAAAGATTTTTAGTTGATTTATTTCAAATTATCCATCTGAAAACATTTTTTCTTTTCATTTATTACTTCATATTTTGTCTTGTTACAAAATTTCAAAGGTATTTTATGATGTTTCACAAAGACAAAAGAAAATAAAATCCATAAATTATTACATCATAATCAAAGAACCTATAAGTGGAAGAAGTTTATAAGCGAAATTTTTTTTAAAAAATTTATACTTGTTAGATGAAAATATTTTATTTTAATATTTATTATGTAAGCCTTCTTTTGCTTGTAGCTTAAACCCAAACTAATTGAGTTAACGAAGAAATAGAGCATCATAAAATGTTTCTTACATGTGTTTCAACTTTTTTATAGGCATGTAAAATAAAAAGTATTTTCTATATAAAACTGTTTTTATTTATTTATTTTTTGTGGAAAAATAAAGCAGGATGTTGAAATTTCTGCACTTTAATGATTATTTTTGTTTTATTTAAAAGAAATAAAAGAGTACAGTAAAATAAAGCAGAATATATATTTTTTGAAGAATCCTTGTTAGAAATAAGGTCAAAAATTAAAAGCATAGAGAGTTGAAAATTAACACATACTTAAGAGAGGTAAAACGAAAATACTATCGAAGTCTACCAAAGCACTACAGAGAATGGTGGACATAAAAACATGAAAACCTTTTTGATTGCTGGATGCCATGTAAGTAATAGATAAAAAGATTTTTATTAGAAACATCAGGATCTTGCACAATTTTTAGTGTCTTTCATTCCCCTTTACTCACTAGTGACTCGATAGATTTTAATGGTGATATTATTTTGCTTCTCTGTATTACCAAGAATACATTATTCTTTTTTTATTTGCTTTTGTTACGAAAACATATTTTGGTTTTCCCCATGAAAAGTTATAATTGCGCTGTTAAAAAAGTAGCCATCTCTTTACAGTTTGGAAAATTATTATTATTATTATTATTTTCTTTTTTGACTTTCAAATGAACTTTTCCGTCAACTGAATTCAAGAAACCACGACGATTTCGATCAAATCTATATTTTAAAAATCTCATTTTGCTGCGAAACCGGCAAAATTCTACGGACAATGAACTTCATAAGCGAACATTTCAACATTCGCCAGATATCACTTTTGATAAAGATTTTTATAATTTCTTGTTATTTAGCATGATTGAATATTCGTCTTCGACTGTGCATACCAAGTTTTTAATTATAATTCAAGGCGTTTTTTTTTAATTATTATTTTTTTTTAAAGATTGTGAATGCAGTATCGTTTAGTTAAAAAAGGAAAAAATTGATTCTGCATTAATTTAAAAGAAAAGATGCCGACGTCCTTACTATGTAATTTGTTTGTTTGATCTTTACTATGTAATTTGTTTTTCTATTTATCTTGTTTGCTATGTAATATCATATATACTGTTTCTCTAGGTTTATGGTTTTTTTGTTTATCAAAATTTACAGATAGTATGGTTTTAACATTTAGTCATAAAAAGCTGATAGTTTAGAAACATATTATATTTATACAATGGTACATCAAATTCAGTTGCCGCCAAAGCATGAATTTTTTCTGAGTCATAAAATTTTGTCACTTCTAAGTCACATTATTCAATATCAAGAGTTTAGGGATTTTTAAGTCAGTTTTAAAGTGAGCAGTGATTTTAAAATTATTTTTCATTGGTCCTATTCTCTTATAACATTAAATTAATTTCAAATACAATTTCAGGGATATCAATTTTAGATATACGATGATTTTAACTTACGATTATGATTTAAAAATTTTAATTTATGCTCAATACAATTAAGTCGAACTAAAAAAAATTTCCCTTTTCAATCTTAAAAAACCAGTAAAAATTTGGTTTGCAGCAAAACCGGTCAACTCAAAAGTTAGTTTCAAATCGAGCCATATCTACAACAAAGAAAAAAATACGCTCCTGCTACCTTATATTGTGTTTTAAAACGATACACTTCCTCTTAAAACAAAACATTTCGATTTCTATCTCGTTTTGATTACATGTAGCACAAAATCAGCTTTCCCTGAAAATGTTGCGATGGCCGGTTTTGCAAAATGAACGATAAAATTAAGTTAAAAAAATTTTCATTGTTGATTACATGACTCATTAGCGCTGAGTTCAAATGGATTTAAGAAGGATGTAAGATTTCTAAAACATTTTACGAACTAACCTTATTATAATGGAATTTTATTGTGAATTATCTGCTTGATTTGCTATTTCTTGTAATGAGAAGCTCGAATAATTTCTCTGTTCTGAAGTGTATTTATTTAGAACTGATTTTAATTTATTGATGACTAACTTTATTGAGAAAATAATTCGTTTATGATTTTCTTTAATGCTTTTTTAGCCTTTGCTGATACACGATTGCAGTTTGAGAATTTAGAGAAATGTAAAATACTGTAAGTTCATTTTTATTTAAAATTTTAAAATATTTTGACTTCAATTTATCTAATGCGCAAAATAAATATTAATACATTTTCAAACTTTTTTTTACTATTTTCATATTTTAAATTACTTTAGCTTATGTACTGTTTTTCAAGTATGCAAAAAATTTCTATTTGGAATTGTATGAAAGCTTGGTCTTTTCTGATGAAAAATATGTTTTCTAAAATTCAGAGAAGCTTCCAAACATAGAAACGGGCGATTAATCAGCTAGAAGCAAAGAGTCATAAAATATGGCTAAGTCGCTGAATTCTAACCTTCTAATCTGTCAAAATGAAGCTGTTCTGAAAGAGTGAAAAGAGAAAGAAGCGCTTCCAAAGTATTCCATTTTTCCCGTTAAGCCTTATTTTGTTTGAAAATTTATTAAAACTCCTAACTGCAATTAAATACACTGAAATTTTATTGAAATACCTCAATATACTGCAATAAAATGTTTGAGTTATTTAACATAACAATTGAAAAATTTGCTCAAAATATGCTATCTGGCAAATGACACATCTACACCCACGTAAACCAATCAGCATTCCATTATTTTCCCACTCCGTCAAAATATGTACACAGAAACCCAGAGCGCAGTAATTTACGGGTAAACCTAATTGACGCTTCCGATCCTTTCGAGCGAGCCGTTGTTGACATGTTTAAATACCTCGGTTCAAATAAAATCAAAAAAAATATTCCGTACCGAAAGCGCATATTGAAGGTCAGTGCGAGACATTTGAAATTATAACAGTCTAATGTTGTTTAAAAATTGAAATAAAATGCCTCAAACTGAAATCATGTCTGTGTGATCATGGGTTGCTGGTGTCGGAAAAGCTCGTCATATATTGGGAGAATCGCATCGTCTCATATATGTCATTACGTTCCTGGAGGAGTCAATAGAGGGCTCTGCTGTGACTAAGAAGGAAAGAAAGCTTTGGGAAATTTGTTGCGATGACGTCACAGTTGAACGCCATTCGGTATTTATTTATGTTTAAATTTTAACTTTTTGGATTTCTAGGCAACTTAAGAACATTGAGAAAAATTCCTCGTTATTAAAAAAAAAAACGAAAACTTATTAGATATATATAGAAAAAAGACACCTAGTACTGTAGTCAAAAGAGATAGTAGTCACAAACGAACAGTGCGAAAATAGAAGCCTCCTATTAACTGTAGTGCGAGCATGTATGGTGTTTTAAAAGTGAAGATGGTGAAGTTTTTATTCTCTTTTTTTTTTAGTCAAAAGTAAGTGAAAATTTTGTTACGCGTTACATATTCTTAATTGTTATAAAATTGTCCATAAATAGCCATGGTTAAATATTATTTCAATTAGAGATTACATATGTTAAGTATCTATGAAGCTTTATAATTTTAAATATGAAATATTTACGTATCACCAGAGTATAACACTAGGTAGCGCAGTGGAAGCAATCTAAAAAAAAAAAAAAAAAAAATTAAAAAAAAACACAGTCATGTAAAAATTGAAAAGAACAGTCGCTTAAAAGCTATGCGTGAAGAAAGCTTTTTCGTTTTCGTCGTATCCTGAATAATATTTTTTATGGATCATGATTCTCAATAGATTTCAAAGTAGCGAGTAAAGGTAGCTAACATGCATTTAAATATACTTTAGTATTATCCTAATACTATCCCTTACTAGAACACCTTTTCTGGATTAGGCAAATTTTTTAAGATTTAATTAAAATTTTTTTTTTTTTTGAGGTAACACTGGGTTGATTTTGAGTTTTGCAAATTTTGCAGATTCTTAACTATTTAAACCGGTCACCTAAATGTTAAATATTATAATGGTGAACATCATAATAATCTGTATTATTTTATTTTAATTTCAATAAAGATTATCATATTATGAATTTTTCTCCCATGGAAAGTATTAATCCGATAAGCATACCAATTTAGATATTCTGAAAAATATCTGGAACAAATATTTAAGAAAGCCTTTCACTAAATGACACCGAAATTATTTTTCAATCGTTTTTATTTGACTTCTTTCCTGCATTTGTTGAAAATTGTTCAATAATTAATCTTTTCTCCTAAGAAATCAATGTATTTATAAATGAAAGAATACATTAAAAGGTCTAGAAAATAGATTCTAAACCTTTTTTACGTTGCCGCCTCCTTAAGGATCAGAAAAAATCTCAACGCCCCCCTTTGTGAAAATCCAGTTATTTAGAGCATGAGGAGGGAGGGATGTGTGCTGAATTAAAAGAGGCAACATTTTTAAGGCAAGTAATTGCAATCGATTTGTTTTAATCAAAATAATTACGGTAATGAAAAAAATACACCTGAGAAACCTATGCTTAATAAGAGTCATTTATTCTTAATAAGATAGTTAAGAAACTATCAAGTAACTATGTCAGTGGGATGATTGTGTTTGGTTCAGGGCCAGTTAATTAAAGTTCGGTTCAATATTTTGAATGAATTGAAGACGCAAGTCCCCTCTTTGCACAATTTTGAGTCAATTGCTTGTGACTAGATACGTCACATCACTGAATCTTCGTTCCACAAGGTAGAAGGAAGGGAAGCTTATTAAATGTTGCCTTGAAGCCTAAATTCTGTAAGACGATTACTATTTCAAAGCTTCATTAGTTGAAAGTTCTACCAATTCCTTCTGAATCTGAACCTCTGCTGTTTCAATATTCACAAAAGGGTTCGTAACCCATTAAGGGACTTCCAGGGACAAAACATCCTTAAAATGTCAGAAAATTCAATGTACAAAGACTCAAGGTGATTACAATATTCTAGTGCATCATCAGAGAGAATTTCACCATTCTTTATTCCGATAAGATTGGAAATTGGCTAAACTTATTCCTACCAAAATTCTGCTTCCACAAAATGAGTTTTTTCAGAAAGGCAGAAATAGCTGATTTTGTAGTGATCAAATTGATCTCGTCGCCTTAAAATTGTAAATTAACACCATTAAATTTTACAAATAAATCCGTCATGTATTCAAGGAGCACAGAGTCGAAAATATTCCAAAACCTATTGAGACAGGCGTTTTTGGAAAGCTTGAGAATCTCAGTGTGTAGTAGCAAGCGATTGAATTTTTCATCGTTTTTCTTGAACAGCTCTCTGAATCGTTGAGAGTATTACTGCGAATTTTCATCACAGCAGAGATCGACATATTGCAATGGCTGATGCAAATGGTCTCTCTGAGATTTTTTCCAACTAAATGCTGTCTGTAAATCACGCAGTGGACAGCTAAAATATCTGGTACTTGACCATCACTTATGGAAGGAGTATTCTAAGTATCTTTGTCTTGGGAGGGGTACCTCCCTCTTCAAAATGGGGTTAAACCTACGATGTCAACCAACCATTGCAGTAACTCCATCAGTGGCAACAGACACAATATTCGAAGAAGGAATGTTTTTCCCTTTAAAATAATCTTTGACAGTATTAAAAATAGATTTACCTTCGGTATCTTCAATCAGGTTTTTTTGCAAAAAGCATCTCTTGAATATTTTTTCATTCCTCCATGAATCGTCAGCCGTGTCTTCAGCCATCTCATCAATCCGTTGCAACACTGTATCCTTCCGAATCCGAACTTCAGGTACGTGGCACTGTATTGACGACACTTTTTTTATTAACCGACATTGTAGGCAGCAGCAAAATACAAACGAGGAAAGAAAATAAACTATATCTTAAAATTAATAGATAATTTACGCTAAAGAACAAATTCGCGCAAGTACATGGTCAAATAATCAATGAAATTGAATCAAAACTGGGGGAAAAAACTGAAAGGGAGCGAACAAAAACCATCATAAGAACGCGGATCAAATCAAACATTCATACTGAAAGCGCATGCACTTCAATTTTCGCCAAATGGCTTGACTAAGTCAGAAGCAAAAACAACTCACTCATGCCCTGCGATAGTTCGGATTGGAGAATAGTTGTCACATAAGTTCACTTTACTGCTGGTATAAATGGTGTATCGGATAATTTTAATTTATTATATTAATCTAATTATTTTTCATTAATATAAATTTTTGATTTACTTTATTTATTAAATTAATTTTAATTTAATAATTTTATTTNGAGGAAAGAAAGCTTTGGGGAATTTGTTGCGATGACGTCACAGTGGAACGCCATTCGGTATTTATTTATGTTTAAATTTTAACTTTTTGGATTTCTAGGCACTGCTGTAACTTAAGATCATTGAGAAAAATTCCTTATTATAGAAAAAAATGCGGAAATTTATTAGATATACATGGAAAAAAGACACCTAATACTGTAGCCAAAAGAGATAGTAGCCACAACCGAATAGTGCGAAAATAGAAGCCTATTAACTGTAGTGCGAGCGTGGATGGTGTTTTAAAAAAATTTCTTGAAGTTATTATTCTCTTTTTTTTTGTCAAAAGTAAGTGAAAATTTTGTTACGCTTTATATATTCTTTGTCATAAAACTGTCCATAAATAGCCATGGTCAAATATTATTTCAATTAGAGATTACATAAGTTAAATATGTATGTAAGCTTGATAATTTTAATTATGAAATATTTACGTATCACCAGAGTATAACACTAGGTAGCATTTCTGCATGTGTTGAAAATTGTTCAATAATTAATCTTTTCTCCTAAGAAATCAATATATTTATAACTGAAAAAATACATTAAAGGTCTAGAAGCTAACAATTTATTTAGGAAATAAAATGAACTGAAAGGGTATTGTTATCAAATTTTATCCAGCAATTAACCATATTTAGCTCTTTATAAACCTATCTTACTCTAGTGATTTGCTAAATTTTTTTTTCGCTTAAATATTTTTTATTCCTCATGTGTAATTTTTTTTCCAACTTCATCTTTCACAATCACTCTAAAAAATTTATGCAAAGTCGATTATGACCGAAGTATACATTATACGTTGAAAACTTTTTTTTCTGCACTAGACATAGTTTTCTAAATGTTATAGTACAAAGATTGCAAACTGATATTTGTTATTTGCATGATAATCTTATTTCAGTTTCAAAAGTACTCAGAAGTTTTTTCGCTACCAACAAAAAACGAACAACGAAAGCGATGGTCCAGATGAATTCTTCTCGATATGGCTGACATTTTGTTCAGACTTCAAAGACGTGTGGAAGAAGGAACAAGCTTTAAAAATTATTGAGCAAAAGAAGTAAGTTAGAGACGCTCAATTAAAATTGCATCGTATGCTGTCACGAGTGAAGATAATTTTTGTACCGAAATGATTTATAAACGCATTTAGAACTACATTAAATTTTTTTCCGTTGATTAATTTAAATTTAAAGTTTTAATGCAGAAAATATTTGTCAATAAGGAGGAAAATAATTTATACTTTTCTCACGTTTTTTCGTAAATTTTTATTCAATTTACATCAGCAATAAAAGAAAATATTAAGTGATGGGTTCTTTCAGATAGTTTGCCAAACACGCGTGTCTTTAGTAAATGATGTATGTGTTTAAAATTTTAAAAGCTCTTAACAATGACAGTTTAAAAATGTGGTGTTAAACTAATCCCAGTTTGAGATCGTTTTATTTCACTCAAATTACGTTGCGCTTTTATAAACGGATCCAATGTACAATGCACCAACAAAGAAAAAAAAACGGTTTGTATTTTTTTTGAATTTTTTTTGTTGAATTTTTTGGGATTTACTCTTTTGTATGACGATGAAATTCTGCAGTTTTCGACATGGTTCTAAATGATTTTTCATATAACTCCGTAAATATCGGTCCTGTCATTTTGAAACTTGAAGTTTCCTGAACTACCATTTTGTCACCGAAATGATCGCTAAAACACCCTGAGTGACGCCGAGTCGATAAAAATGTAATTAATCTGAACCTTCTATGGGAAATATATTAAGCGTTATTTTATCTCTGAATTACGTTAGAATTGTGCGAGCGATTTTCTTGAAATCTTTTTATTTTAAACTGATTATTTATTATCCGTCTGAGATATTTAGCTACATAACCATAGAAAATTCAAAAAAATTATACCAATATTTACAAATTCGTTACAGTGTGTAGTAATTACCTTGTATTGTATAACAATTAAAAATCGTTTTCATTTCTCTTGTTGTTTAAATTTTTAAAAAGTTCGATATAAATGTGAAGTTTTATGTATGGTAAAATTTAATCTTTTTCTCGTATTCTTTTAATTTAATTTATTCATTTTTTTTTTAACTTTTGACATCAGGTCAAGCGCAAGTTTATAAAATGAAGATGTCGAGAGAGGAAAAAAAAAATTTTTTTCTACAACAATACATAAATAATCATTATTTGAGGCAAAAAAATTGCATGAACATTATGATAGTAGTGTAAGGAAATCGCAAAAAACACTACTATCATAAAAGTTGAACCCTCCAACAAATTGGAATTAAAAAAAAAAAAACTCTTGTTAGATTTGTAACAGAATATAGACCTTCGTCGAATATTAACTTTGTATTCCTGAAGCCTGCATGGTAATTTTTAAACAAATTTAACTATTATAATTCTCGAACTGATTATAGAACATAAAATTTTTTCCATTCATCGTACTCTCAGTAAATGTTTCTACAAATCTTCCTCATTTAAAATCTTAAATTTTACACAGGAAAACAAAATCAAGCGGAACACTGAAAACAGAGATTTTTTTTAGTACAGAGATAAATTCATTTCATTAATACCTATAAAAATGCTAATTTTTTACGTACATTAATTATAGCGTATATTAGAATAGTTATTAATGTTATACATTTTGAAATCTGATAAAATAAGTTTGACAATGCTGGCGAGCCGTAGTTCAAGAAAACAAATATATATATTTTGAACATTGAGTATCCCCTAGGTCTGAGATGTTTAAGTATGACGTTGCATCCAGTAAATTCAGTCCTCTGTTTCTTCTAGAGATTCCATCTGAAATTTGTACAACAAAAATGTACTGTTGTTTTCCATAAAAAAAATTTATAGAGGTATCTTTTTTTTAGATTAAAGAGGCTTCAAGAGCTTCAGGAGGGGAAGAAGGCTCAAATTACAACTATAAAAACAAGACCAGGTGGACTGGTAAGTTTTAACGAAACATCGTTATTTTTATTGATTAAAAATAGTGTCACAGTTACATACAATTTCACACATTTAGTGCAACTTTTTCATTTAAAGCGTTAAGGGAAACTACCATATCTATAACTACCATATAATAACCTTCAACTTATTTCAAAGTACCTATTATTTCTTTTATGAAATAATTTATTTCTTTTATGAAATAATTTAAATGACAAATGTCAAGTTATCTGGAATGTCAATTTATCCGAGGATACTGCGTTTTTTAAATGAATCAAATATGACGTTTGCCATTTCCACTATCAAACCAATGATTTACAGAGGTTTCTGCACAGAAATCTGAAAGGGGTTTTCCATTTAGGTAGATGTTCATGATTGCGTTTAATACTTCTTGTTTAGGACCAGTACGTAATGTGTTTTTTTATAAGTTCATTGTTGAAAACCGTTTCAACCGCTGAAGTACTCCCAGACAGAGAAAACATCAATTCCACCAAACGCAGTATGTTGCTGTATTTCTAGATTTGAGGGTCATTTTAGAAGTGAGGCGCTAGACTCTTGTAAGATAACAAGAATTGAAAATGTATCACGAACATTAACAGGAAAAAGGCCGTCCGCGCAGTCGTCGGATTCGAGAAATTCGTTGTCCGCGGGGAATTTTTGACAGCCGAGGACGGGCGATTTTTCGAGCCCTCCTGTTCTAATATTCAGAATTTTCTTCATTTACTTTATTTCTGAAATCAGAGTTTCGCCGGATAATTCTGCAACCGAATAATTTCTCTATGCAGTATTTATTTTTTACTAAAAATTTGTATGCTCAGAAATGTATTTGCCAATAAACTTTCTTTTTTTTCCTTCCAGAAAGCCAAGCTGAAAAAAATGAATCTCCTTAGCATAAAGGAAGAGAAAAAATCGAA